ACACATGGATGCTTTCCAGCTGTTTGCTGTTATCACCAAGTAATTGTGCAGTGGTATCTGTACACAGAAAAGGAGTTACTAGGTCGGAGGTTATTTGTGAAGTCAGTAGTGCCAAATTGCCTGGTCACACCATCCAGCCCTCCCGTCAGCCATGTATGAGCAGATTCAGCAGCTTCCCAAGTCTCATCCACCTCTGTCTTCCCAAGTGTCCTCTATCCTCAACTGGGCTACTTGGAATGGTTAAGTCAACATCTAAAGAGCTGAAGGTGGGCGCTGTATACGATTTCTTTCTTTTTTAAAAAAAATATTATTTTATTGATTAATATTATTTTTTAATTTGACCAGAGAGAGAAGGAAGGTGAGAAAGCAAGCTGCCAGGTCCAGGACTCAAACCATGGTCGGCCAGTGGAAGTCAAGCACCTTAACCATCACGCCACCTGCCACCACCCTCGATAGGATTTCATTAGCACTTGTGGGCTCCAACCTCATGTAGCATTTTTTTTTGTGGGGGAGGAGAAGTTTTTGCTATAGAGTACATGCGCTTGCCAGAGAGACAGAGAGAGACAGAGAGACAGAAAGCAAGAAATCCCCTGCTGAGGAGATGGCCATGCCACAATCCCTTTTCCTCCATTCTCCTCTCATTCTCCTCTCAGGATCTTGGGCATGCACGCACACGTGCCCAGCATGAGTTTAAGCCACCAGGTCCGGGACTTGAACTGCGGTAGACTACATGAGAGTCCAGTGGTGTAGCCATTATACCATCTGGTCCCTCATGTAGCATTTTTTAAGTTCCATAACTTAAGGGACTTGCGGGGCACATCAGAGGCTAGTGAGGATGAGTCCTAGGACTAGTCTGGGCCTATGGTTCCCACCCTTCCTTTGGGAAGATGGCACCAGACATTTGGCGGGATGTCCTTAGCAAGGTGCTGGAGTTAAATTTAGTTACACTCCCACCTACTCAGAGTTCAGTTCCCTGAGCCTTCCTGTCAGTGGAATGGTGTGAGACAGTGGAATAAAGAAGGTACCCCAGGCTCATCTAGCCCAAATTCCAAAGGCCACTAGAAGACCAGGCAGGTGGGCAGAGGCCAGACATTGGCTCAGTGCTAATGTAGCTGGGCCGACAGAGGGGGGTCTGAGGCTCAGGGCCTGAGGCTGGGGGCGGATCACAGTGTGAGGACCCTGTTAGTGGTGCCTATCTCTGTCTTCCTCACTCATGTAAGAAATTAAAAAAAAAAAAAAAGATGACTCGGTTTGGCAGCAAGAGGATTGTGTTTGCTAAATCATGTTCTCTATTCCTCTGTTTTGATTCATTTGCTCAAACCTTTACACCCCAAGCAGGGTTGGTTTTTATTAATTAGTACATAGTCTTCTTATGAAACAAGCAGATGATACCAGGGTTGTCGCCTTGTTATGGTACATCCAGAGTAGCTGTAGGTGGTGCCAGCCCACTGGGACAGGTGGTCTCGAAGGCTTCAGGGCTGGGGACCCAGGGTCCAGACAGATCAGATAGCAGGGGATAGGTTCAACTTTAGCTCTGTGGGCATCCTGCCATGGCTGTCTACCATAGGGGTAGGTTCATGGCAGGAGACCTGAGACAGGAGGAGGAGGAAGGCCCTTGAGTTCTGCTTGGTGTTCTGGGCTTTCAGTCAGGAAAGGAGAATAAGCACAGAGCTTTATGTGGACCTCTCTCTGGGGAGAATATGTGACAGTCCCAGCTCGATGTGTCTGCGAGAGGCCTTCCCCGAGGGGCCAGTTTAGGAGGAGCGCTAGATATTGTCACTGATGGCTCTGCAGCAGTCGAGTGCAGTATTCACTGTGTATCGTCTATCGGGAGAGAGAGAGAGAGTCTTTTAGTGTCAGTCAGTGGGAATGTCTGGGTTTCTGTTCAATTCAAAAGTCTTGAGTTCATAATTTTTGTTGGGGAGGATGTCAGGTGCCCTCTTTTAAAAGCTGAAAGTCGTGGATCCTCTATCTATAAAAAAAATAAAAGCACTCAACTAAGCCTTCTAGAGCATGACAACAATCTGTATGCAGATTGCATCCAATTTCTGGTGATCTTCCTCCGGAGTCCCAGAACCCCCTTAGGATAGTAGTGGTTCTCAGCTATTAGCGTTGCTATTGTTGTTTGGTCTACAGTGCTGCACCCAGGAACGTTTTCTTTCTATTTTTTTTTTTAACTTTACTTATTTTTTTCCAGTTTGATCAGAAAGAGAGAGAGAGGGAAAGCGAGAAAGCAAGCCATCAGGTCCAGGACTCGAACTGTGGTCAGCCATGTGGGAGTTCAGCACCTCTACACTATGCCACCTGCTGACCCCCTACCCCAGTAACATTTTCTAAGCTACTTGCTGATTCTCAGTGGGGAGGGTGTCTCCTGTGGGAATGGGGAAGGGCAAGTGTAGTTTGAGCAATCACTGGCCCGGGAGCCCATAGAACTGGGTCAAGAATACTTGGCCTGATGAGTCGTTTATTTTGCTTGGAAAGTCTGAGGACGAGAGGGATTTCTCCTTCCCCAGACATTACATGGCACCTTGCCTGGGTCTCACAGAAGGAACTTAGGAGCCCTGGGGTAAGCAGGGGAGGCTGGGCGTGATGTTTAGGCTTCTCTCAGTATTCCCAGCTTGCAGTAATTGCTGAGGAGCATTTCTGCTTACCAGAAGATGCCTTGTGCCTGAGCTGGGGCGAGGCCAAGCGGGATGGGAGTGCCTGTGGCCTCACCCAGCTCCCTGGCCTGTCTGCCTTTGCTGTCGCCTAGGGAAGGTGGGAAGGCTAATGACTCATTATCCCTGCAATTAGTCACATCACCAAGGCACATGATTCCCTGCAGGACTGGTGCCACCTGCTGCCACTCTGGCTCTGTTCAGTGCTGCTTTCTCTACTCTGATGGGGAGTGCAACTCCAGGAAATGGTCACCGCCTTCCCACAGGCACCAGCTTGTAGCTGTGGCAGTCCCAGGACCAAGCGGGAACATATGTTTCCCTCGCCTTCACCTCAGGGCCACACATGGAGAAGAGTATGTGGGCATTTAAGCCAGAGATTTCCCCACGTGCCCATACACACATGATATGTGTAGATGCATCTGTGTACAGACACATGTGCCCACAGACTGGGAACACACCGTGAAGGAGGGGCTGTGCCCTGTGAAATACAACCTCCAAGACCAGCAGGGAGGAGCTCCAGCAGGAAGCTCTCAAGAGAACGAGGGGTTTACCTGTCCCCTCCCCATGGGGAAGTGCTTTTTCCACCAATGCCTCCTCGCATCTCCAAACACACCGGGAGGTGGTGAAAGGGGCTCAGGCCAGGGTTTGAGGCCCTGAGTCTAGTCTTGGCTCTACAATTATGCAACTATGATTAAATCCCTTCTCCAGGGACCAGCAGATGGCCTAATGGTTACATCGCTGAACTCCCACGTAATTGACTGCAATTCAAGTCCTGGAGCCAGAATGCTTGAAACTCGCACCATATGTGTGTCCAGGCATGCCCCAAATCCTGAGAGGAGAATGGAAGAGAAAGGATCAGAGCATGGCCACCCCCCAGGGGGATGTCTCATTTTCTGTCTCTGTCTCCAGTGAGCGCATGCCCCCTATAGCAAAAATCTCTCTTAAAAAAATAAAATCCCAGTTTCTGGGGCCGGCAGATGGCATGGTGGTTAAGGGGCTGGACCCCTACATGGCAGACCAAGGTTTGCATCCCGGGCCTGGCAGTGCTTGCTTTCTCACTTTCTCTCTCCCTCTCTCTCTCTTTCTCTCTCTTGTCCCTTTCTGGTCAGATTAGAAAGAAAGGAAGGAAGTTAGTTAAAATAATTCTTTTTTTTTTTTTTGGAGAGGTTTTTGGTATAGGGTGTGTGCGCTCGCCAGACAGACAGAGAGACAGAAAGCGAGAAATCACTCCCCG